GTCCCATCTTTCGGGACCAGCAGTTCTTCGAGAGGATCTGCCTCCCGGAGTTCTCAGGCGCTGTTTTCACACCGGGCCACACCACGGCCACTCAGCTGCGCCCAGAGTGGCGCATCATCAACCAGCTGTTGGGGAAGTCTTACACCCCCAGCGAGGGCTCCACCAGTCATCTTCAGCTCCGCACCTTGCATTGCCTGCACTCCATGAGCCACGAGGTGGACAACCTCCATCTGTCCTCCCTCATCGCCAGGACTGTCGTCAGGGCTTCTCGGTGTGGTCGACCCCTGGCGTGCGGGCCGGTGGTCACTGCCCTGGCACGGTACTACAACATCGACCTCTCCAGGTTCACTCTCATCCAGGAGGCGAAGCCCTTCTCCAGGGACACCCTACGGCGCCAGCTGATACTAGAGAAGGAGGGGGACGTGACCTGGATCTGGGGCCTTCCTCGCCCTGTTCCTCGTGCACCAGCGGGTGAGGAACTCCCTAAGGCGAGTGCTGCTGCGGCCAGTCGGGCCAATCGTCGTCGGCGGAACACTCCTTCTGTGCCTGACGCCTCCACCTCTGCTGCCGGCCCATCTGCTGCCGCCCCCACCACTTACATTGCCGAGCAGCTGGCGGCCCTTTCCCGCCAGAATGAGCAGATCCTTCTTGGCCAGGAGCACCTCAACGCCCGCCTCGACCGTGAGCGCGAAGGTCGCCGCCGCATCATCTCAGCTCAGCATTACATGATGAGCTACTGGAACATGGATCCTGCTGCTGTTAGCTACCCTTGGGAGGCGTCCCCGGGGCATGAGGACAACTACCCGCCCCCGAACGGCGATGGAGGGGATGAGTACTGAGCTGGCTTTGCTAGCCCATCGAGTTGGGCTTCGCTTTTGTCTATCTTTCCAGACTTAGACTCCGTATTGTGTTTGGTTTTTATTCCTTGTTCCGTATTGTGTGGATTGTTGACTTGGAACTATGTTTTATTTCACCCCATGTGTGTGTTCTGTTGGTTCTAGCTATGTGCCCGTCGGACTGGTCCTTGTCCAGTCCTCTGCTTTTGACTGGTCCGCCATCCAGTCAACGTTCCTGACCACTGTTTCACGGTAACATCGTTCCCCTTCCCTCGGCTCCATTGAGGACACTGTCGCATTTAAGTGTGGGGGGGTTCTTTGTATTTATTGGAACGTATATATGGGTGCTTGGAGCCTAGTCCGCTGTCCGAATCTTACGATTTGAGGGCTCCAAGTACTGCTGTTTGATCATATTGGCACTATGTTTTGATTGATGAATTGAACGGTTTTCGGATTAATGCATGACAACTTGGTGGTGACTAGGACAACCTATGATGAGGGCTGAGATGTGCAGTAGAACGATGTAGGGGTTCAGTTTTTAAACTGTGTGCTTACCAACTGTGACTTGATCTGATCACTTGTCTTGACAGTCGTTTATGCATCTAGTTCAGGGTATCAGAATGTGAGATAGAGCATATAGGTAGCCATGTGAGATTTGAGCCTGCTCGTTTCTTTCTTGTGCGATAGATCCCTCTTCCATGATGTGTAGCATTCACGTTGTCACTAGCTAGGATGATGGGGGCATAGGATTAGCCCACGACCAAATTTGACTGTCCTGATGTGTCATACCCTCTAGTCAGCCCCTTTGAGCCGTGTGTTATCCTTTCTTTTTGGTCTATAATGAAAAAATCACCCTTTTGCATCTTTTAGAAGGTTCCACAGAGTGGTTTTTACAGATTCTCTGCTGTTTCTGCTAAATTGAATGTGAGTGTTGGAGGTAGTGCCAAAAAGTTGGGCAGATGTTTGAAATATGTGCAGAAGTGGTGGCTCTCTTAAGAAATGAAAAGAAAATGAAAGAAAAACAAAGAAAAATTGAAAGCAGAGAGAGCCACTACCAAAAATCTGAATAATGCCCAGTAAGTAGTGTTTCTTAGCAGTCTGGCTTGGAAATACTGACATTTATACCTCCTTCGCTCTTGTGCTATTGAGATATTGAGTAATGCAGAATAGCAGAAAGGAAATACCGGTTTGTTTGACTGTGATTGTGTGTTTGGAAAATGTGGAACCTTTTGCTATGAATACTTCCACCACCTAAAAGGCCTTTTCCCCATGTCCAAGACCCTAGCCAGTCATTTGAACCTGTGTCTAAGACCTCCTGATTAGTTAGTGGTGACACCCCATATGTGAACTCTAGCATTTAGAGGCTGCCATCATGGTGAAGAGATGATAGGGATTGAGAGAAATAGCATGCGCATCTTTCGCATCAAATTGTCCTGACCCCACTGGTCGAGAGTGAGTGATTCATTTTCATTTTCTATATGCTCTTGTACCCCGGTGAGGACCTAGATTGCTCGGTCTCTATTCTGATGTCTTGAGTTGGATGCATGAGTTGACTGTTTTGAGTAAGTGGTTGAATCAAGTCTAGGTTGGCCAGTGAACAGAAGGGAGACTCTTCCTTTACTCGATTTGCTGCACTCGAATGTCCTTTGTGGTGGTTGTCCAGGTTGTTATTGAGGTTGTGCATGTATTGATGTTTGAAAACCAGTTCGATTCACGTGTTCTGTGCCTTTATGACTTGTCCCCAATGTTTGTTGATTGAAATATGTGAGCTTACCTTGTGTCTGACTTGGTTTGCTTGGGGACAAGCAAACGGTTAAGTGTGGGGGAATTTGATAGCATCGTATTTGCACGTGTTTTCACTCGGATTTCTTGTCCATTTTGGCTCGAATTGATTGTTGCTTGGCCTATTTTACGCTAGGTTGTGTTGTTTTGCCATATTTCAGGTCCTAGCAAGTACAGAGGTGCATACGCGCAAGTTTCAGGTCATTCGGAGGTCAAATGGCGAATCACAGAACGAATTACGGGCAGCCCCTGCCAAATTACGACCGTAATTGGTCAGGGCATGCCCGTAAAACAATTGCCGAGCCTTTTCCCCAGAATTTCCTCTCGGTGATAAAATTACGGGCAAGACTCCCAAGAATTACGACCGTAATTCCCATATTACTGGCGGTAATTGTGAAATTACGGGCGTATCTTCTCCTCCTTCAGCTTAATTGAAACGTGCGTTTTGGGGCGAATTACGGGCAGGACGTGATTACGGCCGTAATTCGGCCCGTAATTCGCCCAGAGTCGGGTTTTTGAGGCCAGAATCGAGCCAAGGAAGGGGAGATGGAATTTCTTGAGCAAAAACAGAGCCCTAGAGAGAGAAAGTGCGAAGAACTCACCCTAGAAGCCATCTTGGAGCTGGATTTCATCAATTCAAGCTTGGAGATCGTCCTAGGAGTGGAAATCATCATCCCGGAGCAGATTATCCTCATCATTATGAGTATGACTACTCCGATTACTGTTTTCTTTTCTCTCTCTATGGAGTAGAACCTCTCTCTCACTTGGGGATGAAGAACCCTAGTTCTATGTGTTAGGGGATTGATTGTAATGACTTGGGATGATATTACTGTTTGATTATAATCGAATGATGCATGTTTATTGAGTCAATTGAAGTCTGATCAACTTTTCCTGATTCCTGCTGCAATCTGAGATAGATAGAATCTGATTAGGTTGCTAGAGTCTCATCATTCGATAGTAGGAGACTGGTTATACGAGAGTTAGCCAGTTTACTGCTTTGTACTGGAATCTAATTCCAGTAGTGAATTTCTGTTCTTACTGCTTCAGCTTTCTATCCCGGTGAAGACTAGTCGTCTGCCGGGTAGTTAGACTGAGAGGGCTTGGTCAGCTTAAGAGATTCCAAGCTACTGCCGGATCTTCCGCAGTCTAATCAACAGTAAATCAACCCAGGGTAAATTGCAATTGAGACCTAACTAAGGAGCTAGGGGGATTCATTCCCGAGTCACTCTTTCCTGCTTAAGAAAACCGAATAATTTCCTGCTTTATTTCTGCTTTCAGTTTAAACAACAATCACTTACTCTAGTTGGCTAGATAACAGAGAATCACTGAGTAAGCAGTAGATCTAGACCCCGGGTTGATAATATAACTTGCCTGTTACTGCATTCCCGGTCTGCGATTACACTTGGTCGCAGATTGGTGTTGTGTTTTGGCGTGTCAATATCATGATACTATCATTATATAATCTCATTATATAAAGGTAATATGACAGTAGTGTGAGTCTTACAATAGTGGTAAGATTATTGATGATAGTGATGAGATGATATTATGAACTTTTACCACAACAATACAATGTTGGTATATAAAACTTTGAAATTATCACTATTATAGTGGTATGGTAGGGTGATCGGTCTTATCATATGATAAGATCATATGATATGATAATGACAAAATTACACCAACACATATTTTGGATGACTAGTTTGTTTTTTATAACAAAATGGATATCATTGTATAGATCATAATTAATAAAAGTTCTTTTTTACAATTTTTTATTTATTTTGAGTTAAATAAATGGCTAATATCACTACAACACCTGAACTATCAACAAAAGGCCACTTGTGTCCTATTTTATTCAATATTCCATTTCTATCCTATTGTATGATAGTTTTGTGTCATTTATATCCTCACAGTTTTGTTGACCGCTAAATATAACGGTTGACCAAACAAAAGTCAAAGCAATGTTGACTTTTGTTGATGTGACATCCACATAGACGACATGACATTGCCACATCATTTTAAATTCAAAATAAACTTAAATAAATCAAAATTGAAAGATATTACTAAAAAATTGTTAAAAATCTCTGATTCTTTCCCCAGACTGTTCTTCTTCTCCGCAAAATGGGAGCCTCCGATGCTTTCCCCTACCTCCTACTCCGATTAATATCTCCCCTATACCCAGTCCGACTACATAGTTCTCATCTCACGCCACTACACCCTTTCCTTCCACCCTCTCACATAAAGAAGAAGCGAGAAAGTGGTCCCACAAAATTTGTCGACCCCGCAGAAATCCCATACTCGACGACGTCAACGGTGTCAACCTCGTCGTCAGCATCATCAACATCCCAACTGCACTGAATTTGAAAGATAAACGAATTGCACAGTCTACTCGTCGCTTAGGAGCAGGACCTCGCCGGAGGGGAGAAGTGACATATCGCAGATGAGATGGGGCGAGGGCATCAGATCTCGCTTCAAGACTGGGTTCGGGTCGGATCTCATGCCACGGGAGAGCGATTCCACTGCTCGGCGACGACGCATCGTCAGAGGATCTATCATCTGAGAGAGGAGATCCACCGTCGCCACTATCCTCACCGTCACGTCCGTCGCCGCAACATTCTCAGATGAAGATCGATCACCACTTCTGCTGTTGGATCTGGTTCCCGGAATCCCTCTTTGGTGGTTTGTTCGGGCAGGGATTTGAGGCTGAGGATTGATTTTTGTGGGGAGAGGGAGAGACGAAGAGATTAAGAAGATTTGGGGATTTTCCATAATTTTTTATTTTATTTTTCTTATTTTAATTATTTTAGATGGAAAAATAAATGAAAATTCCACGTCAGATGCCACATCAACGCTGACTGGATTTTCTGTTAAATACTAAAGGTCAACGCAGATCAACACTAACGGAATGATAGTTCAGGGCAGATATGGAATATTGAACATTTTAGAATACAAGTGGCATTTTTCGATAGTTCGGGTGTTGTAATGGTATTAGCCCTTAAATAAAAGAGATGTGTCATCATACTACTGTCATATAATCATGATATGAGAGTGATAAGATTATAACCAATATTTATTCTGAATGAATAATTCTAAAATAATAGCAAAATGGATATCATTGTGTATATAATAAATACATATTTAACTGTTGAATCAAAACAAATGAGATATGAACTTATTAAGAAAAATATGAGATTAGAAAATATGGGGTTTGACAAGTCAACAAACTCTTCTCTCTCCTTTGGGATCCATGGCAACACATATAGAAAAAATATACAGGGATGAAAAATTATCGGGTCATCCCCCCTTGTATCTATATGAGTTGTGGGAGTTCATATCAAAACTAATAGAGACCTTGGTTTTCTAGGGTCTTGTAGATAGATGTTTGTACCCTATATGTTCCCTCATGTACAAAAAATCCTTTGACAAACAAACTTCTGATCTGACCAACCTTTTGTATGGGTGTTTAATGGACGAGAGCAGTGTTATTATATAAGAGAAATATAAGCTTGTGTCTAGGATTTTCAAAACCTAGAAATTTCATGTTATTTTCTAAAAAACAAGCTTATCGCTAACCTCCACGATGTTTAAAATTCCACCATGGAGCTCTATTATTATTCACATAACTACTCGTGCTTTCATTTAAAAAAACGTTTTTTTTTGGAACAAATTGAATTTGTATGTTTTAACATTATGTTACAATTCAGTTTATACCTATACATTCTTTTACATTTTTATGGTACAAATTCAGTTTGTACATATACCTGTTGTAATCTGGCATTGACTGTTGAAATTAAGGAAGCTATTTGATGCTTCATACTTTGCAGGATTGCTTGATGAGAGTGGAATACGGCTTCCAGCCTGTTGGCAGTCTATAAAGCTTGGGTCTAATCAGAACTCGACCCTTGTTACTTGTATGGAGCTCTCATACCAAATCTAGGAATTTATGGGTTTGGTTCCTTCGTCCAATTTAGATTGGATGAAGCCTTTCCGTCCCAATCCAAATCGTGGAGATACGAAGCATTTGGGACGCAAGATTCCACCTATAATAATTCTCTATCTGAGTTGTTTTGATTGAGTAAGTGCAGTTCTTCTAGTCTAATTTCGAGATTTGGCAGTCATTGACCCAAAGTGTTCTATAGCTTGCTCAACAGTTAAGTATGTAATGGTGTCTTCGGCTGACTGATTCACTAGAACAGTGGTGTTTATATCAAGTCATTTTCCAAAGAGATCAACAATTTGTTCCTTCCCTAAGTCGTGGTGAGGGAAGGCTCTGAGAAGCTCTGAGAATCATTGCCAAACTTAAAAAAGGGATTCATTACTATGCTTCGTGAAATGCAAGATTAAATCCTTTAAGTCATCACTTTTCCACGGAGGGAAGAAATCTTTGATCATTCTTGTGCCATAACATATGCACAAAATGTGTCGGGAATTAGCAATGTAACAATTTCTTTGCTTGTCCATAGAGTGAGAAATTAAAGAGATGTAGGTGCACTACATCATATCCAACACCTTGGTGATGCAGAATATGACATATTTCTAGAAATATTTTAATATGCCTAACATGATTGTCATTTTCTTGACCTTCAAAATGTCCAGCATTCTCGACCATAAGAATTATGGGTACACGCATCTCGAAATTAGCATTTGTTATATGTGGAGGGATGGTGTTGCAACATATATAGACGATCGTATTTTACTGCCAAAAAACCTTAAAATTACTAAAAACCCACAAAATATCCCATCGTATAACGAAAATGTGGCTGAACAATTTATGGCGTAAAATGATAAATAATCCGGAAGTATGTTCCAACACTACAACTTTGGCATTTTCCTCAGTTTCTAGTTTGAGCATGCTTTCATTCTTTTATCATTTATAATTTGATTTGCGTTTAAGCCACGCAATTGAATTTCATAGGGTGTTACTCTACCCACCATAGGTAAATAAATATGTGATGTCTATACACGTAGGGATGTGATGTATCTTTGTAACGGAGGAGTATGGTGATGCCATACACAAAACCCAATTGAAAAATGAGTTCTTTGGGAATTGTACCCCTAGTTATAGTATGAAATCAACGGAATGTAATATTCATGTAATCCTCTACTCTTTTATGATTTTGGAACCTACTTTGCTTGCATCCAAGTCAATGGTCACCCACTTAGGATGCACTTCTAGGTGGTTACTTGACTCAATGATCATGCATCCAACTAATCACTAGATAATTAAGCATAGATTATTGACTTGGATAAAAATCTAGGGGCAATAAAACTTCAACACAATGGTCTCTGCAATTAAAATTTCTTCTTATTAGATGTGGGTTCTAGGCTTCTAGCATTGAGATAAATAGATGGTCACTAGTTTAGGTCAAGAACCAAGAATCAATAACTTAGTCTAAAACTAGAGATTGACATAATTAAACATCAATAATCATAAAGTGGTGAATAAAGTTATTACATCAACATGTCATTCCTAACAATCACCTACATGAGATAGGGTTCAACTTATCCCAAATACAAGGTGGGTCAAACCATGAAGGGATAAAGGAGTACACTAGAAAGAGAGTGAAGGATAATTTGCTTGACTCCAATATGTGAACACAGCTTCAAGCTCCAAAATTGAAGGTCTCATCTTCCTCTCTCAACTTTCTCTCTTCTTCAAGAGGAAAACCGTAGCTCTCTTCTCTTGAGGTTTGTATTTGAAATTCTGATAACATCCTATTCCCCTAATTTGTCGAACTCTAAAATGCCCTTCAGCTATTTATAGAAGACCTGGCTCGACCTATTTCACGAGCGTCATCCATGGAAGTTCATGACCATGAACATTGACAAATGCGTGTGATCTACGAAATACTTCAACCTTACCCTAAACTTCATTGAAGATCACAACCAGGAGTTCACAGTCGTGATCAATTCTTGCAGGCATCAGCTTATAAATCACGATCTCCCTCACACGTTTGCGAGGCTAAACGCGATACCTTATGCTTATTTCTATCTATTTCTCGCTTGGGTTCTCAGGTAATTGAACTTCTTTTCCGATTCGGAGAGTGATACCATGGGTCTCTTCTTATGGAAGTGTCTTGGTGTGGTTTTGAGATGCATCCATTGATTTTGACATAAAAAATTGTGCAATCTGGTCAACTTGAGCACTCATATTGTCAAAAAGAGGTTTGTTGGATTGGTTGATTGGTGTTATCAACAAAATTATTCCATAACTCAAATCTCTTGATACATTTAGTCACTAATTGGCTCATAATCTCCTCTATCATTTCCATTTGGAAGCTGAACTTTTGGATTGAACATGAAGAATCTTCAACAACTTGTTGTTGGAGATACAAACTTAGTAGTTGAGGAGAATTTGAGGTCTCTATGAGTTCAAGGAAGAGAGCAATTGAGTCTCCAATCTGTCAAATTTGGAGAGGAAGGGTCTCTATGAGTTCAAGCAGGTGGTCCAGGAAACTCTCTGCTCTCGCTCCACCTCTCCTCCGTCGCCGCCATAGGAGGAAATTCAAACTTCATGTTCCGCCGCTTCCGCAACTCCGAAAACGCAGAATTGAAGATCAAAGCTTCCGCTAAAGTTCTTGAGAGCTGGCAATTTCAAAGTGAAGAAAGCGTACACGAAAATGAAGAGCACGATCTAGTGGAGGAAAAAATTCAAAATCGACGAGCTCGTGGAGGAAGTTCTGGAAATCCCCACCCTAAATCTCTAATGGTGATTCAGAGTAGCGATGATCGCAGATCTGGTCCTGCCGGCGGCAAAAGAGAAATAGGTCAATGACAATGCCGACCATAGATTCATCTGTCATGCTTCATCTCTGCTCTTGCGGGCGCCGCTACCGAAGTAGTCTGCCGGAGGACGGAGGATGAGCTAGGTTCTGCTTGATTGGGTAATGGGAGGCTAGAAGGGTTTGCATTTCGATAGAGTTCAAAAGTTGAGATTAGTCCAGGTTGGGAACTGCTGATGCAGCCGCCAGAAACTGTAAGGGTTGGCTATTGGGTATTGCAAATTATGGATTTTCATTGTTGTGGTAGGCATTGGAGGGTGCGTGGGAAGGGGAAGTGTTGAGATAAATTTTTATTTTATTTTTTTAGTTGTTGTTATTGTTTAAATTAATTAAATGTTGAATTTAAAATAATACTATTACATGTTAATGACGTGGCATCTATGTGGCAGCCACGTTTTTGCCACGTCAGCAAAAGTCAAGAACAATTTGACTTCCATTCGGTCAACCGTTATCTTTAACGGTCAACGAAATTGTCAGGATATAAATGACACAAAAGTATCATACGATGGGATATGAATGAAATATTGAAAAGAATAGGACACAATTGCTTTTTGTTCAAAGTTCGGGTGTTGTAGTGGTATTAGCCCTAAACTCAAACATCTTACTACCGTACGACACCTAATCAAGTCAAGTATACTTCGATCAGGCAACGTAACATAGCAGTGACCCTCAAGGAGAGGCTATAGGAGAGAACTTGGTGGACAATGATCGGATATCCCAGTCGAGGCAAGCACTATCAAATGTAAGGTGTCTTAGTTCAAAGGCCGAGAACACAGTCTAAATTTCGAGGAATAAATTTTTATAAGGATGGAGGAAATGTAACACCCCGATTTTTGGGTTAGGGTTTAACCTACAATAAATTCGTGAACTTGGGTGAATACAAACTACGAAAACCCAAACCAAACCCGTACATAATATAATAAAAATATCATTAGAATTACACTAATAATGTTAGCTAAGTAATTGTGTTTACGTTCAATGGGATAA